ACGCCTCATTTAAACGTCACCAATCATGGGTGAGCTCATTTGAATATCATTATGAATATTCATATAGGTGTTCTTCTATCTGCCCTCGATCACTCTGTCCACTCTCCATCCCTCCCTCCCCCCCACCCAAAAACAGCACAACATATGAATAAAACATGAGCTCGTCACACATTCACATTCATATGCACCTGTTCACACCGCAGATTATGCGTTCATGATAATTGATGAAAACTTCAGTGCATTTCATACAAAAACGGAGAGAGTTTTGTTATAATTGTGCATTTCAAATGAAATACAAACAATAAAATGCAAATATAATCAAATTAAGTCCTTTATAGGAACAAGATCGAAAATCAAAACTTTTTTTTGCGTTAAATAAACGGACAGTTCTCAGGTCAGCTCAATTTAATTATAAAGCATGTTCAACACCACACCATAGTGACATACAGAAATAAGAAAACAATTAATTAAATTAAATAAAAGAGGCAAGCTTAAGACATTTTTAAAAGCGACAGAAAAACAAATACGTTTTCAGCGCACTCTGGATTAAAGATAGTGTAGTCCTGGTTTCTGATTGGCTGATATTGCTACAATAAAAAAAAATCGGTGACATTCATATGAGTTAGTCGTACGAATATGTATAATTTTGTTGGCTTCCAACCCCGTCCCTAAACCTAATTGTCATTGGGGAATGAACAAATCGCAGTAAATTGTACGAATGCAATTGTACGAATTAGCCACTAAGTGAAAAAGTTACGAGTTGCGATAAATAAAATATAAATATTATGTACAAATATTTTTTAATTATAAATAATTTATAATTTATCATTTAACAGTCAACATTAATTTTGATAAACGTAACAACAACCGTGTACTATATATCTTCATAATATTATAGCTTAATATAAATTCATGAGATTGTACGAATTAATACGAATTAGCCACTAAATCAAAAAGTTACAAATTGCCATGAGATAGCGTTGAAAATTTATAATATCAATTTGCAGCAATAAAATATAAAAAGAAATGTTAAAAAAAATGTATTACAATTATTTTCTTCAAATTAGCATTTAACAGTTAACATTTACTTTGATAAATGTATCAACAACCATGTATCATATATTCATAATATTATAGCTTATTATATATTAATGAGATTGTATAAATTCATACGAATTAGCCACTAAATCAAAAAGTTACGAATTGATGTGAGATAGCGTTGAACATTCGTAATATAAATTTTCAGTAACAAATAAAATAAATACAAATAATTTTAGTAAAGTATTTTTTTCAAACGAACATTTAACAGTTAACATTAACTTTAATAAACAGAACGACAACTAAAACAACAGTGTACTATTTATTCAAATTAGTATAGCTTATATTGAAATTATTCGAATGACCACAGCTCAACACTTTCGTTTAGGTCTACGAAATTTACAGTTCAAATTTTCATTGAGGAGTCTGGGTTTAGCTGGGTTTCCATTACTTTGTGTCAATGTTTTAAGTATTGCATGAGAAATGCGTGATCGAGACAGCAAATTTCAAAATTTCTAATTTCGTAAACCAAGTTTGTCTTATTAGGTGGTTTTGGAATTGTGCGAAAATTGTTAATGCGAATAAACTGTGACGTAGCAAACATTATACCAAAGTGACTCCATTATGCTTGCACTCAAGTTAAACTTGCGATATTTTTTCGTTTTTTGCAATTCTTTTTGACGTTAAGATGGAAACCCAGCTATAGTCAGTGTTTGCGTTCATCTGTCGGTGTGAACAGATTTTGACATGCAAGAGAAAGTGCAACACAAACACACGCGGCTTCCTCCAGAGGTTTAGCAGCGAGTCACAAACAGTCTGGTCCCTTCAGGCGAGGAAACTTATGGACACACACACACACACACACACACACAAAAACACTCAAACCTACTCAAACATACACACACATACACACACACACACACACACACACACACACACACTCAAACCTACTCAAACACACACTCAAACAGACGCACACACACATGATGATCCTGCACAAATGGAGAAATGAAAGTATCAGTGTGCAGCGCTCAGCAAAACCGCAAACCTGCAAAATGACAACTGTAATTTCGCATTAAACGTCGCGTCAGAGTTTACTGCCATTCACCGCCAGGAAACATCTGCAAAAGAAGAAGGGAATCAGTGGACCAGTGAGTGTGTGAATGAGTGTGTGTGTGTGTGTGTGTGTGTGTGTGTGTGTGTGTGTGTGTCTGCACGTCGATCGGTCGCGCTGTGCTGAAATAAGAAAGAGCTGCAGATGTCGCCGCCCTGCTGGAGGAGACAGAAAACACACCCTGATCCCACCAGCACTACACCCAGCGGAGGAGTGGAGAGAGGAGCGACTGAGGGAGGAAGAGCGCAAACACAGGGGAGAGAGAGAGACACGCGGAGGACAGAGAAAAACAGAGGAGGAGAGAGAAGAGGAGAGGATGAGAACTTTGGAAAATGTGTGTGTGACTGAGTGTGTGTTTGTGTGTGTGTCTATGTGTGTGTGTGTGTGTGTGTGTGTGTGTGTGTGTGTGTGCATATATAAACAGTTGAAGTCTCTCTTGTGTATTTTATTTTCTTTTTTCAATATTTCCCAAATGATGTTGAACAGATTCAGTAATTGTTCACAGTATTTCCTCTAATATTTGTTCTCCTGGAGAAAGTCTTATTTGTTTTATTTCAGCTAGAATAAAAGCAGTTTTTAATTGTTTTAAAGTCATTTTAAGCTTAATATTATTCGCCCCTTCAGCAATATTAGTGTTGGATTGTCTCCAGAACAAACCACTGTTATACAATAACTTTACCCTGATTACCCTAGTGAAGCCTTTACATGTCACTTTAAGCTGTATAGAAGTGTCTTGAAGAATATCTAGTCTAATATTATGTGCTGTCATCATGACGAAGAGAAAATAAATCAGTTATTAAAAATAATATGATTATAAATGTGCTACAAAACATGCTTTTCATTTAAAATATTGAGGGAAAAATATACAAAGGGGGTGAATAATTCTGACTTAACTGTATATATACACTACAATATATACAAAAGTCTTGTCATCTATCTTAGTTTTAGGAACTGCAAATACAGCTTGACTTCTAGTTGATGATTTGGTGTCAGAAGTGTCTCTCTGAAAGGTGAAGGCCTCTAGATTTTGCTGGTTTGAGCTCAATAAATCTGATCATGTCTTGATGTTGACTGATTTGATGAGGACAGTGCGGTCTGACTCTGCTCACACTAAAGTGTCATCACTGAACAGAAATAATGTCCAGTATAGAATATAAAGTCCTGCTGCAGTGGAGACAGAATGAATATTGTGTCTGACTCCATCATGAGCTTGGAGGACTGCATCCATACATCTCTGACATGACTCACATCACTGATTAATAAAGTCATCTGGAATGAAGAAGAAAGCCTTCAGCAGGATCCCAGAGTTCATCAAGAGTCTCTGTGTTCATCTTCAACACCTCCTCCTTCATCATCAGCCCCATAATGTTGATGTCTGGTGACTGGGCTGGCCAATACTGGAGCACCTTTACTTTCAGGAGCTCTGATGTGGAGGCTGAAGTATGAGCATGAGCGCTATCCTGCTGGAGAATTGTCCCTCTCCTGTGGTTTGTAATGTAATGGGCAGCACAGATGTCTTGATACCTCAGGCTGTTGATGTTGATCATCCACTCTGCAGATCTCTTGCGCTGAATGAACCCCAAACCATGATTTCTTCTTCACCAAACTTGACTGATTTCTATGAGAATCTTGGTCCATGCTGGTTCCAGTAGGTCTTCTGCAGTATTGGTGATGATTGGGATGCAGATCAGCAGATGATCCAGCAGAGAAATCCACCCTCTGACACTTTTACACATCATCAACTAGAAGTTGCTCTTATATTATATATATATATATATATATATATACACACACGTCTTAATTAATCCCATTTGTGTTTAGTTGGATTATGACCCTAATCAGATTAAATTAATCAAAGATTTCTGTTTACATGGTCGACTCTTAAGCAGAGTGTTGTCTTCATCATAATAAAATTGAATTATTGGTGTCCATGTAAACATTTTCAGTGTGTCAGTGTGTGTTAAGCTTGTGTCTGTCAGTGTATATGTGTGTGTTATGCATGTGTCTATGTGTGTGTGTATGTTATGCATGGTTCTCCGTCAGTGTGTGTGTATGTGTGTTATGCATGTGTGTGTGTGTGTGTGTGTGTGTGTGTGTGTGTGTCTGTTATGCATAATTCTCCGTCAGTGTGTGTCTTTGTTATGCATGTGTCTATGTGTGTGTGTGTGTGTGTTATGCATAGTTCTCCGTCAGTGTGTGTGTCTTTGTTATGCATGTGTCTGTGTGTGTGTGTCTGTGTGTGTGTGTGTTATGCATAGTTCTCCGTAAGTGTGTGTGTCTTTGTTATGCATGTGTGTGTGTGTGTGTGTGTGTGTGTGTGTGTGTGTGTGTGAGTATATTCTGCATGCATCTATGTTAGTGTGTGTGTGTTATGCATGTGTCTGTGTGTGTGTTTGTGTGTGTGGTAATATGCATGCGTCTATGTGAATGTGTGTGTTTGTGAAAGAGTGTGACTGTAAGAGCGTGTGTGTTATGTATGTGTTTATATTAGTGTGTGACTGTGAGAGTGTGTGTTACTGTTAGTTGTGTGTGTGTGTGTGTGTGTGTGTGTGTGTGTGTGTGTGTGTGTGTGTGTGTGTGTGTTTCACTCAACTGTAAGGGACACACTCATACTGGATCTCCAGGTATTTGTAAGTTCCAGGACAGGGATCAGGAAACACGTCTGCACCGGCCACCACCACACACTGCGTCCTGTTATTACACCTGAAACACACACACCCAATCATCAGCATGCTCTCATGATGTCTAAGTGTGTGTGTGTGTACATTTCCAGTTGTGTGTGTGTGTGTGTGTGTACAGCTGTCAGTGAACACAGAAAACTGAACAGCAGCAACACAAACATCATCAT